CTCACTCGGTCGCCCAGACTGGAGTGCAGTGGCCGCTCCCGGCCACCGCAGCCTCGCCTGCTGGGCTCCGGCGATCCTTCCGCCTCAGCCTTCCGAGTAGCCGGAATTACAGGCACGCGCCACCACGCCTGGCTGATTTTTTGATTTATTGTAGAGATGAGGTCTCGCTGCCCAGGCGGGTCTCGAACCCGCGGGCTCAGGCAATCCACTCACCTCAGCCTCCCAAAGGCACGGGATTACAGGCTGAGCCACCGAGCCCGGCGGGTGGTGTTTTTAAAATTGTCTTTTGATTCGCTTTCATTCCAAAGTAATCCCTTCTCTCTCTCTCTCTCTCTCTCTCTCTCTCTCTCTCTCTCTCTCTTTGTTTGCTTGTTTGTTTGTTCCATTGCATTGCCAGAAATGGGGTCAGTCATGCTGTGGAGTGCTCCACTTTCTCGGTCTCTCTGTTTGCCTCCTTGTGCTGTAACTTAACCAGTTCCCCCGCCTTGTCCCACCACTTCCTGTTGATTAGCTCTTGAGGCCTGAGTAGATTGAGCTCCAATTTTCCGGGTGGGAGCACTTCCTAGGTGCTGCTGAGTGCTTCTGTGGGGTGAAAATATGTAAAATAAAATATATCAGGCCCCTGGTGGGCTTGGGTGGCAGCATCTGATTTCTCCTTTGGAAAGTTCCCCATCAACCTTCCAAGCAATGGTTTCTGCCTTTGAATATTCTTGTCTGAGTCAACAATTTCATTAGAGGTTGTAAAATGATGCATTTCTGTCATTCTTTCCACACTGGTTGGTTGGAATTCTTCTGTAAGCTAGAATTTCCTTCCATCACCCACGGCTGTGTGGTTACCTGAAAAAGGCAAGATAGAGTTTATGTCCTTTCTTTAAAAATAACAACTTTATTGCGATATAATCCACATACCAAACAAGTCACCGTTTTATTTTTTATTTATTTATTTATTTTGAGTTGGAGTCTCACTCTGTCGCCTAGGCTAGAGTGCAGTAGCAGGCTCACAGCTACCGCAGTCTTGATCTGCTGGGCTCAGGCACTAGAACTACAGGTGCATGCCACCATGCCTGGCTAATTTTTTTTTTTTTTTGTAGAGAGGAGGTCTCACCGAGTTGCCCAGGCTGGTCTCGACCCCCTGGGCTCAGGCAATCCTCTCGCTTCAGCCTCCCAAAGTGCTGGGATTACAGGTGTGAGCCACCACACCCGGTCCATTATAAACATTCTTTTTTTTTTTGAGTTGGAGTCTCACTCTGTCGCCCAGACTGGAGTGCAGTGGTCGCTCCCGGCCACCGCAGCCTCAACCTGCTGGGCTCCGGCGATCCTTCCGCCTCAGCCTTCCAAGTAGCTGGAACTACAGGCGCACGCTACCACACCCGGCTAATTTTTTTTGATTTATTGTAGACATGAGGTCTCACCAAGTTGTCCAGGCGGGTCTCAAACCCACGGGCTCAGGCAATCCACTCACCTCAGCCTCCCAAGACACGGGATTACAGGCTGAGCCACTGAGCACGGCTCATTATAAACATTCTTATGCAGGTTTTTGTGTGGACATGTTTCTTTTGGGCATCTAGTGGAATTGCTGGGTCTTGTAACTAACATTTTGAAGAACTGATGAACTATTTTCCAAAGTGGCTGCACCATCTTCCATTTCCATCAGCAATCTAAGGGAAATACAATTTCCCCGCATCCTCACTAACGCCTGATATTGTCTGTCTTTTTGATGTTTATTTCCTTTTCACTAATTCTCAGAGTAAGGAGTACTCCCACTGATGACCAGTGAGGATTCCTCTCATGCTCTTTAAAAAAAATAATTTTAGCCGGGCTTGGTGGCTCAGCCTGTAATCCCGCACCTTTGGGAGGCTGAGGTGAGTGAATTGCCTGAGCCTGCGGGTTCGTGACCTGCCTGGGCAACTTGGTGAGACCTCATCTCTACAATAAATCAAAAATTAGCTGGGCGTGGTAGCATGTGCCTGTAGTTCTGGCTGCTTGGAAGGCTGAGGAATAATTTTTATATTTGAGAATAATTTTAGATTGATTGAAAAGTTGCAAAGATTGTACCACAGTTTGCACACACTGCACCGTCTCCCCTGTCGGTAGCATCCCACACGTCCCTGGAAGGCTTGCCAAAACTAGGAAAGCAACACAGCATGTGGCTGGGATCTAAACTCTAGGCTGATCAGATTTCACCAGGTTTTCTACTAACGTTCCTTCCAGGATGCAATCCAGTGTGCCCGTGGGATTATGTTTTCATGCCTCCTTAGTCTCCTTGGGGCTGTCTGCAGTTTTTCTGTCTTCCCTTTTTTGTGTGTGAGAATGCCAGTTGGAGAAGTACTATACAGGTATTTTACAGAATGAGCCTCTGTTGGAATTTGTCCAGTGTTTCCCTCATATTTAGACTGAAGTTGTGGATTTTAGGGAAGGAGACCACAGATAGAAGGTGCCCTTCTCGTACCGTGGTATCAGGGATGCATGCTCTCACACGTTATTTTTTTTTTAAACTGTGATAAAATATATATTTCCCACTCACTTTTAATATTTATTTAGGGACAGAGTCTCTCTCACTCTCTCTCACTCTGCCACCCAGGCTAGAGTGCAGTGGTACAATCCCGGCTCACTGCAGCCTCAACCTCTTAACCTCAAGTGATCCTCCTGTCCCAGCCTCCTAAGTAGTTGAAACTACAGGTGTGTGCCAATTTTTAGGGTTTTTTTTGGTAGAGATAAGGAATTACTATGTTTCCCAGACTGGTCTCGAACTCCTGGGCTCAAGCAATCTTCCTGTCTCAGTCTTCCAAAGTCCCGGGATTTCAGGCATGAGCCACCGTATCCAGCCCCTGATTTTTTAAGTCATCAAACACAAGCAATAATATTTAGCTAGAATCTAATTTCATCATTTTATTTTCTTTGTTATTTGTATAGCTTATTAGTTTGCTTTTCTTTCTTGAGTCTCACTGTCACCCAGGCTGGAGTGCAGTGGCACGCTCACAGCCACTGCAGCCTCGACCTGCTGGGTTTAGACAATCCTTCCACCTCAGCCTTCCAAGTAGCTGGAACCACAGGCATGTCCCACCATGCCTGGCTACTTTTTTATTTCATTATAGAAGAGAGGTCTTGCCAAGTTGCCCAGGCTGCTCTTGAACCCCTGAGCTCAGACAGTCCTCTCGCCTCTGCCTCCCAAAGTGCTGGGATTACAGGCGTGAGCCACCACGCTCAGCAGCATATTCGCTTTCTATTGATGTTCTAACCAAGCATCACAATTTAGTGGTTTAAAGTAACACATATTCATTCCCAGTAGGTCAGAAGTTCAACATGGATCTCACTGGGCTAAAGTCAAGGTGTTGGCAGGAAGGTGCCTTCATACAGTTTCCAGGGAAGAATAATTCCCTCTGCCTTTTCCAACTTTTTTTTTTTTTTTTTTTTTT